ATAAAAATAGGGCTTTTTCAAAGGACGGGTTATGATTGGTCACATTTCAAAGCTCGTCTTCCTAAACAAACACCTGTGAGACACGCCTATTGGTCCAAGCTTCAGGTCAAATCAGCCAATAGGAACGAAGATTTCGAGGAAAGAGAAATATTCATTGGTTAATCTTTGAAGATTTATAAAATGTGCCTATTGGTTCATATACCGGAGTTCAATAACCAATGAAAATGCAGTTTTTTACATTGGAGGGTTTCTATTGGTTAGATTTTAAAGAAGTGGTCGGAGAGGGAACCACTTGTTAAAGATGGGAATCTGCGATAGGGAAAAAAAGGAGGAAAATCAGAGGGAAACAGAGGAAAAAAAAAATTATATATAAATGAAAAATGCAGGAGCTACGATAATGTACTCATGTAAATAGGCGTGATTTCTTCAAGGAATATTAGCCGCATGAATTTAAAATCCTTTGTTTCGTTTTGTTTTGTAGAAAACGTTAATTCTTTTTTCAGGGGAGACACCGGCAAATACGACACCGTTATAATGATTTTCTCTCTCTCCCTCTTCCCCACACCCCCTCCTTCGCTTTATCCTCAACTTCTTTTTTCTCTTTCATCCCCCCCCCTCTCGCTTTCATCCTGTCCCTATCTGTCCGTCTATCTATTTCTCGCTTTTGATCTCTCTCATTCTGTCTCTGTGTGTCTCTTTCTGTATCTACGGCTGTCACCTCTCTCTTCTTACACACACACACAAGCACACACACACACGCACGCACACACACACATGCACACATACACACGCATGCATGCACGCACACATACACACGCATGCATGCACGCACACACACACACACACGCACGCACACATACACACACACACACACATACGCGCGCGCGCGCACGCACATGTATGTATGCGTGTGTGCGTGCGTGCGCTTATGTGTATGTGCATACAAGCATCCGCACATACACATATCTATCAGTCTAAATGAGACTGCGCTAGCACGCCGCCCGCAGCCTCCACTCGCGGGCAGCTGAGACGTCGGGCGCCACACGAGGCAAACGGTCCCGAGGCCTGCTGTGTCGGCGTCGCAGGGGCGGTGGCGGTCACAGCTGTCGGGCCGCGGAGTCTGGGGTTCGGTTTTTTGTTCTTGTTCTGTGCTTCGTTGAGAGAGCTGGAATTTCTGTTGATTTATTGTAGATGAATCGCAGATCATAAGGTGCAAGCGAATCTACTATGTTTAATCTACACTGCTTCCTGACGTCATGTGTTCCTCATAAGCTTCTTGTAGGTTGCTTGGTCTGTGCTTCCCTACTGAGGAAGGTTGGAGATGACTTTTGTTCCTCGTGTTTTCACTCGCCAGGTAGTTCACGAGTAACCCTTCATCCCAAAAGCATGGTTGGTAAAGTTATTCATTATCAACGTATTCAAACACAGGTTTAATCCATTGCAAATATCTTTTTTTCTCGCTTTTTTCTACCGCTGTTATTTCTAAACGATTTACAAAGAACATTCATTGATAAAACACCATCAAATATTGCATAGCTTGACCGGGTCAAATAGGGTAGAGCTAATGACGTCAATGCATTTAGCCAAAGAGGGTGCACCGTGAGATATCGGATATAGCTAATACATAACTATTTGCATGGTTTAAACGATGTTGTTAGAATTATCCAGAAGTAAAACCAAAATTCCCCTTTTATTTGTAATAACGAAGAGTTCCTTACGATTAACCATCGTTAGGATACACTTAGGAAAAAGTAAATTTCATTTATGGTTTGATCAGCCTAAATGGGAATGGAGCTTCCTGGTTATGTGTACAGTACTTTGATCATCATCGAATATACTTTGTGGTTTGACTTCCAAGTGGACGAAATACACGTGGAGACTTTCTTTGCAATTTTCTTTACAAACTGACTAAAATTAATCTGGTCGAAGGCTGCGCTGAGATGTTAGATGCCTTTATCAACAATTAACATTTAATGTTTCTCCTCTAGTGTCAGAAGTGTGATGATTTTGGTGATTTTTAATTGACTAAAGATACGATCACATTTGTTATTTTTTTACAAAAAGTATCCAGATTCCCTTGCAAATACACATATATCCTATCATTCATAACTAAAGCTAATAATGTAATCATCGACCACGCGCAGATGACAATAATTCTCGTTGCAGACGATCGCTGAAAAAACAAATAACCACAGAATCTGAATCGTAGTCTTGAGGGACAAAGACCTTGGCGAGATACTGCCCACTACTTTCAGAAAAGAGAACTGCTTGCACGCAGTCACGAAGAAGAGCAAGGAGATCGCCTCTGGTACCCACAGACCACAAATCTGTTAGCAATTCTCCGTACTATTAGTGATCAGAAGGGCCAGCAGTGTCCAGGGGAATAACAAGTGTCGTTTTCCTCTTCCCGGCGCAACATTCCGGGCACTCGACACGAAGAGCAGGATGTTGATCGGTGTTGATCGTCTCTCCTTGATTGAGTGTTGAGCTGTCAGAGATAATGTGATGGTGGTTGAAGTCGTCTGTGATAATCCTCTCGAAGACCTTGCTCAAAACAGGCAGCAGAGTGATTGGTCGTTAATTTTGAGGGTCTGATTTAGATTCCTCCGTGTGCAGCGGGGTTGATCTTGCACGTTTTAATAGCTTTCGGAACTTGATATGTCTTAAATACATACTGAAGATTAAGACAAGTTATGGAGTAAGGACCTTTGCCTTATTATTATATTGTTATTATTTTAGAAAACGTGTCTTACAGCCTTCTTAACATCCGCACTGCATAATATGGATTCTGCTGTAACTATTGGCAGCTTAGGAACGTACTGTCAAAGGCCCTAACAGTCACCTCATTACTGAACAAGTGAGGGAAGAATTCAATCTTCACACAGCAAAATATTACTGGAGATCTGTCACTGTCCCTGTTCAGTGGCGGAATGATCACCTCCTTGGATTTTCTTCGATTTTCCTTCACCAAGAACCCCCGTTTTTTTTTAATGCCACTTTCATTGCTTCGATTTTTTTTTCTTTTTTAAATCTCAATCTTACTGTTTGATGACGTTCTTACGTTTGAGGACGTTCTTTTAGGATATTCCTAAATAAAAAATAGAAATGGAAGAAAATATGTTAGAAAGAAGTTAAGTACAGAACAAAATGACAAAAACGGACATCGGTATCAATGCTTGATAATAACCTTTATACAGATACACACAATATTTTTACCTGTTTAAATTAATCCCTTTAAAATTTACTACATGTTTATTATTATTTTTTTTTTTGACTGGTTATCATTCGGACTAAGCAATCAGAAACAAATATTTCTGTCGAAGATAAGAAATTGACTTGGGCATTCGTTCCCTTTATTTTGAATCCATTTTAACGAAACATGTTTAGGTATCGAAATTCGTGAACCTTTGACAACTGACGATCTAGTAGTTTGTTTCCTCAGGTCCTAGTAATCTCTCGAAAAGTCTTGCCCAACTGAGTGAAAGGAATGAGACAGCCCAAAGACACCATTGATGAACGATGGTTCTTTTCACGTTTTAACCACAGCGGATGCATGGCTTGGTTCCTTTCCTCTGACGTGTAGAAGTCACTGCTTTAGGGTATGAGGGAGGCACTGTTAATTCCTGGCCCCCAGATTTTCAGGACTATGAACAAGGGGAAGACCATCACTACAGCGTCCTTGCGCCGGCTGGGCTGAATGCAACAGAAACTTCGGACAGAAGAACTGCAGAGCATAAACCTCTGGACATAGTGTAGAAGTTTCAAAGCTTTAATTCATTTTAACAACATCATCTATACACTATCTAAAAATATCTAAAAAAACAAACAAACATATCCTCATTTTCCGATTCTTCGCAAATGAACACAAATAAGGACACTAATCTCGTTTATTTGATTCGAAATTGCTTCTGCTTCAAATGTCATTATTAAGTTGTTATTCCTGAGTGTCTGCCGATAGTAAAGTCGTTTCTTTGTAGTGCAGTTGACGGTCTTGTTATTGAAAACTTCCAAATGTGGAGTCTCTTAAATTTTGTTTTCATTGTATTGTTAGTATCATTGTTATTATTGGTAAGGTCATTACAATTGTTATTGTTGCTATTAGTGTTATTGTTATTGCTATTACTATTATTATTATTGTTATTATTATTATTATTATTACAATTATTATTATTATTGTTATTATTATTATTGTTATTATTGTTATTATCATTATCATAACTGTTGTTATTATTACTGTTATTAATATTATTATTATTATTATCAATTTTATAATTATCATTCTGTTATTATTATTATTATTATTATTATTATTGTTATTATCATCATCATCATCATCATCACTACTATTTTTACCATTATTATCATTACCATCATTATTATAAATATTGTTATCATTTCTATTATTATTATTATTATTATTATTATTATTATTATATATGTATCATTACTATTATTAGTATTATTATTGTTATATTACTACCACTACTATTGTATCATTATTATTACTGCCATTATCATTATTTTTGTTATTGTTATTATATTATTATTATTATCAATATTATTATTATTATTATTATTATTATTGTTGTTGTTATTATCATTACTACTATTATTGATATAGTATCCTTATTATTACTATCATCAATGTTTTTTTTTATATTACTTTAAATTTATTATACTACTACTACTAATTATTGTTATTATTATCATTGTTATTATTATTATCGTAATTATTATTATTATTATTATCATCATCATCATTATTATTGTTATTATCATTATTTTTTTTCTATTATTATTATTTTTATTAAAATTATTATTATAGCTATTATATAGTATCATCATCATTACCATTATCATTGTATAATCATTATCATTATTATTATTATCATTATTATTGTTGTTTTTATTATTATTATTACTA